TCGGCCATCGCAGCCTCGACCTGCTGGGCTCCGGCCATCCTTCCGCCTCAGCCTTCCGAGTGGCCGGAATTACAGGCGCGCGCTACCACGCCCGGCTGATTTTTTGATTTATTGTAGAGATAAGGTCTCGCTGCCCAGGTGGGTCTCGAACCCGCGAGCTCAGGCAATCCACTCACCTCAGCCTCCCAAAGGCGCAAGATTACAGGTTGAGCCACCGAGCCCGGCTTGCTGAGCACTTTTTATTAACAACATTATGTTCATATGACACAGCAAGCCCCCATCGGGAAAATACCCGGAGGAGCTCAAATCATTCTACAAAAAAGATACCTGCACATGCATGTTTGCTGCAGCTCTATTCACAACAGCAAAAATATAGAACCAACCATGCTGCCCATCAAAGCTGCAATGGATTTTAAAAATGTGGTATATATACATAATGGAATATTATGCAGCCATAAAGAAGGACAAACATATGGACTTCGCAGCAACTTGGATGGACTTAGAGTCTATCATACTAAGTGATCTATCACAGAAACAAACCATATGTTCTCACTCATAAACGAGCCTTGAAAAACTATCATAATACTATAAGAAAGGGATTGGCAGTTGAGGGAAACTGCCGGGGACAGGGGCATACCTCATCAACAAAGGTACCTGCATAATGAACACTTGTATATCTAACCCTGAATTGTACCCCACATCTTTAAAATAAAAAATTTTAAAGTTAAAAAAAATTATGTTTTAAAAAACATGAAATGTGACCATAAAATAAAGGAGAAATTGCCACCCTTGTACATTCTTATTCACAAAGTAATTTTTAAAACACACCTAGAATATCTTTTCCTGTAAATATAATTACAAAAAGTCAAAACTCAATTTCTTTCTGAATTTACCTAGATAAAACCTAAAACTCCAGTCTAATACAAAAAGATGACAAATTTTTCAGCATTTATCTTTAATCATTACTTTTGACAAATATTTATCATCTTTCAACTACAAATAGCTGATGTACTGAATGCTCAATCAAAACTTCAAATAAAAATAAAAATATATTCTGCTAAAAGGACTATAATACTGAATCAATTTATACATTATAAATTGCATGTTAAGCATTATACAATTCAAGCATTATAATAGGATGTGGTTAACTCCAGTCTCAGCAAAATAGTCCTTTTCTAAGCATTTAGGAAATATCAAATTTGTCTTTGCTTTTTGTTAATCATTTAGGTCCTTTGATCTTTAAACACACATACTAGGCAGTCATTATTTAAAGTCAAATTATCACGTAGGTGAAATAAGGTACCTTTGTCTTAATCATTACTTTTGAGTGAAAACAAGAACATTTTATTGTTAAGCTTATAACAGTTAAGTTAAAAATAGTAAATGCACTCCCTTCCAAGTACTAGACTCCCTTATCTGGGTCTCTTCTTCTCACATTCCCCAGACGATTACTGCTCTTGGCTCCCCTCAAGCCTAGTAGGGAGCCCATTCTCCACTGAGTTGCATACATATCTGTTAGATAGGATTTTAATCACTACAAATTATTGTTAAATAGAATTGGTCAGAAACAGTTTATTATATTAAATACCCACCTGAATTTTTTAAAAGAATCTATAAAACACTCACAGAGAAATACATGAGCAGCCGGGCTCGGTGGCTCAGGTTGTAATCTCGCGCCTTTGGGAGGCCGAGGTGAGTGGACTGCCTGAGCCCGCGGGTTCGAGACCTGCCTGGGCAGGCGAGACCTCATCTCTACAATAAATAAAAAAAAATTAGCCAGGCGTGGTAGTGTGCGCCTATAGTTCCAGCTACTTGGAAGGCTGAGGCAGAAGGATCACCGGAGCCCAGCAGGTCGAGGCTGCGGTGGCCAGGAGTGGCCACTGCACTCCAGTCTGGGTGACAGTGAGACTCCAACTCAAAAAAAAAAAGAAATACATGAGCTAAAAACCGTGTAATTAACGTATTTCAAAAAGAGAACATGATCTTGTATAAGTCATTCCAAATTTTTCTTTTAATCACATTTGTAATTTTTCTTTTTTTTTGAGTTGAAGTCTCACTCTGTTGGCTGAAGTGCAGTGGCACCCTCATAGCCACCACAGCCTCGACCTGCTGGGCTCAGGCAATCCTTCTGCCTCAACCTTCCAAGTAGCCGGAACAACAGGTACACTCCACCACACCCAGCTAATTTTTTTTTCTTTTTTCTTTTTTTTTTAGAGATAAGGTCTCACCTCTAAAACCTCCATGAGAGTCTTTTTTTTTTTTCCTATGTGAATTCATAGACTCATTTTTTATTCAAATTAGCAACAATATCATTACAATTAATAAATCAGTTGATCTCTAAGAAAATTCACATGTAAATTAGCTATTTGGAAACAAGTATTTTATTTATCCCTAGAAATGCAATTCTTAGACCTGTAAAAAAAACCGTAATGAATCAAGATTTAAGAGCATTTTTCTAATACTGAAACTAACCCCAATGTGGCAAATTTCATTTTGAAATTATCAGCTTTAGGTAACTATCTGTGAAAATATACATATAAACTTTTCATCCTATTATATTTGTTTGGGGGTACTTTAAGCTACTGCAACAGGCCTTAGGAAAGAGAATCTCTCTCTGAGCTTCTGTCCTCTTTTCACCTGCCCATGGGAGAACCCTAAAGTGACTGTGGGTCATAATCACATAAGAGTACCCCTGATTTGGGCTGGAGAGAGCAGATATCCCTTATCTTTGGAACAATTTTATCTCAATTGCTCTCGGAATGTAAACAGGTTAGTGCAGACAAAGAGGTTTGGAATGAGAAACCCTCAGCTGATCAAACAAACCACCTTTTATTTTTTTGAGTCAGAGTCTCACTCTGTTGCTCAGGTGGGAGTAAAGTGGCATGCTCACGGCCACCGCAACCTCAAATTCCTGGGCTCAGGCAATCCTTCCACCTCAGCCTTCCAAGTGGTTGGAACTACTGGTGCATGCCACCATGCCTGGCTAATTTTTTTTTTTTTTTATTTATTGTAGAGACGAGGTCTGGATTCAAATCGCTGGGCTCAGGCAATTCTCTCACCTTGGCCTCCCTAAACGCTGGGATTACAGGCATGGGTCACCATACTCAGCCATTTGTAATTTTTTTTAAAATATGATGTAATTCTACATTATTTTTAATGTTTTGTTCATACAAAAAAACCAATGAAATCAGAGATAGTTTGTCTAAACTTGTATAGAATTATCAAAATCAAATTTTAACATTGAAAAATTAGATATTTCAACAAATGTGCACTCAGAGATGGAAATTCTCATGTTTCACCACAGGAAATATCTGCTGTAAAATGAAATTTAGGATATAGGTCATAACAATGCTTTAACTTGTGAGTTTAACTTGAATGATATTGATTTCATTAAAATATGACACAAAATTAGTTAATAAAGTCCATAGCAATTTTTCATAGTGATTAAAAAACTAATATCCGCTGGGTGTGGTGGCTCATGCCTATAATCCCAGCACTTTGGGAGGCTGAGGCAACAGGACTGCATGAGACCGCAGGTTCGAGACCAGCCTGGGAAATATAGTGAGACCTCATCTCTACAATAAATCAAAAAATTAGCTGGGCGTGGTGGTGCATGCCTGTAGTTCCAGTTAATTGGAAGGCTGAGGCAGAAGGATTACCTGAACCCAGGAGGTCGAGGCTGCGGTGGCCATGAGCATGCCACTGCACTCCAGCCTGGGTGATAGTAAGACTCTGACTCAAAAAAAAGAAAGAAAGAAAGAAAGAAACTAATATCCAAATTGAAAGAAAAAAAAAAAGGAAGCAATAAAAAAGAAGGAAGAGAATAATTAAGGATCTGAATTTGCAAATCTGGTAGGAAAAATAATGGCAGACATTGGTACTAGTATTTCTTACGAAGCCACCAAGATCAAATCTAACAAAATCTAGCACTGGCAGAACGTGGCTGACAAAATACATCATCAAGAAGATTAAGTAAGCAGAAAGGCCAGGAAAAATTTGCTGGGTTTTGAAATGAGACAACTTGTGAACACTAAATCAGATACATCAGTAAGATAATCTTTCATTTCAGTAAAGCCAGAACTGGTGACATTAAATAGATTATAATAAGCATGAAATATGTGTACAAGAAGACAGTGTGTTTGGACATGCACACATACATACGTGTGAGTGTTGGGGAAAGACGATTATGTACACAAAGGTGGTTACTCACATGAACAAGTTCCACATTAGCAAACAATAAAGGAAATTATTAGGTCCATCAGTTTGTCCTAGATCCTCCTAAAATCTTATATTTCAAAAAGTATTAAGTATTTATTTGACATCATAGCCTAACTTAAAGCACATCACTAAAAAAAGCAATCTGCTTCCACAAATATATGGATGAAATTTTCCAAAATCATGATCGGGGCTGTTACACTTTCTCTCCCTTGTCACAATAGTTTTTGTTTTTTTTTTTTTTACTTTAAATGAATTCTATTGATAAGCATTTTGCCTCTACCAAAGTATACATTCATTGTCCTATCGTTCATATGTACCCCAAAATAATGAGATTACAGAAAGGCTTTGGAGATACCACTAGCCATTTTCTAAACTGCCACTATGTTTCAAAGACAAGCCATGCCATTTAGGAGCTAATAACAGGAAAAAAACATGTCCATCTTCTATTTCTATGTGCCTAATAAAAAATTATTATAACTATGCCTATATATTATGTTAGCTTAAAATATTATTTTAGTTTACAAATCAAAGGGTTTTGTTAATTCTCTAGTCACATTTTCTTTTTAAGTTACTCTAAATTCCACTTATATGCCTAATAGCACCATAACTTGGCTCTACCATAGTGAAATAATCTTTTATATAAATCAACTTACACTACAGTTTTCAGGTGGAACTAAAAGTTGAGTAATCTCGCCACCATGAACACAGAAGATATGTTTCATTTCTCCAGAAAATATGTCCCAAATTATGACAGAAAAATCCACACCTCCAGATATGAGATATCTTTGATCATACCGAGCTGAGACCTGATGAGGATATAGCAAACATGTGACTTTGTTCCGATGACCACGGAGTGTTCTGTGAGGTGGCCAACCTGTGGATGAGGTTTTGGATTTAAAATGGGAAAATTAAAGACTTATAAACTTTCAACAAGTAAAAGTAAACATGAATTTTCAGAATAGCTACAAATTTTATCACAAAAAAAGCTTCCAATTTTGTCTTCTAAAAGTACTCTGTCCAACACAGTAGCTACTAGTCACTTAAGACTGCTGAGCACTTGAAAACGGGGCTAATCGATTCTTGCATGCTGTAAATTTAAAACAGTCATGAGATTTTGAAGACTTAATATAAAAAATGTAAAGTATCTCATCAATAATTTTCATACTGATTAATAAGTTGAAATGAAAATAGTTTTGCTATATTGGGTTATATAAAATATATTATTGTTGCAATTTCACCTGTTTCAATTTACTTTTTAACATGGCTATTAGAAAATTACAAATATAGCTACATATATGATTCACATTAGATTTCTATTGGCTGGCACTATTCTAGAAGATTAAAAGTATTACTAGTAATACAGTAATTGTTTAGCACTCAATAGAGATAACTAAAAATAGATGAACTATTAACATATATTAAAGACAGAAAATTAGTTACTTCTTTATTTACAATCGCTATGAGGTATTAATTTCAATAATAGGCACTGTATCGGCTATATAGCACACTAATAACTACACCGATTCTTGGTATTTATCAAAGCAAAGATTAGGGCCATTTTCAGTATCAGGGTGACAGAGTTCTCAAACATGCTTTAGACGTGTGGCTCTTCAGTATACCTCTTCTGAGCATGTGTTCCCCTTGCAGCAGCTGTACTATGGCTGTCTGTGTGGCAGGTACAATAACTATGCTCCCGTCTTCACGGCCACAAACCAGTCGTCCATGTGCTGGTATGTACACACTTGCCGTTACTTTCAGAGGTTCATTGCTACTGGGAATCACACTCAGTTGATCTATAATCCCAGCAGGGCAAGGACTCAGCTTATTAAATGCCTCTTGCAAACTAACGGACATCGTCACTGCCGGCCCTGCAGAGGTTTTGTTTTGTACAGAAGAAAAACATTTGCACATGTTAAAAACATTAAAATAACATGGGTTGAATCAGTAATATATCAAAAATGATAACTGTAACCAAATATAATTCTTAGAAGAAAATGATACATGTACACTATGAATTCATTATTCAGTGGTTAATATCTACGATGTTAAGTTAAAGGAATTAAGAAATTGCTACACATGATTTACTATTACCTTCTTCACCTTCCTGTTTATCAGGTGTGTCTGATATGTTCCAAATATTCAATCTTCCAGAAGAATCACCCTGAATTAATAGTTTATGTAAATATTCCCTGCATCCATAGAAGAACCGAGTAACAGGAGGACAAATTAGCAACTGCCAAAAAAAATTATTCAAATATCATTAGCTATATTTTCAATCAAAATATTTCACATATTAACATCTTTTCAAACAAAGACAGTGGGTAATTTGCTTCAGTACCCAAGTTTAAAAGTGTTTGCAATATGATTATTAAGCAATATTTTAATGTAATCTTATGTAGCATTAGTATACATGTCAACTAATATTCAAATCAAGTATGACATAAACATTCAAGAAAATAAAAACTGTATTTATAGTCGTTCTCTAAAATTAGTATTTATACTCCTTTTCTCTGCTTTACAAAAATTCATTACTAGTCACAACAATGCAATTTACTTGATTACCTGCGATTAAATAGTACAGAGATATGTCATTCTTTATCAAAAAGAAAAGTCTCTACTTTCAAGGTTAAAAGGAGAGAACGCACTAATCCTGGTTTTGTCTACTCCTGATTAGTAATTAAAAACAACAACAAAATTAAAGTCAAGCTTGTGTAACTAGAGGACTCCATTTTTTAAAATTAGTATGTTTTTCAACTAATTGCAAAAAACTTTACATGTTCAAAGTTACATAATCAATCTGAGCCTAGCCTCTGTTAGCTATAAACCACTAGGAATAACAACCATTCATGAGGTCTTGTGCATGTTTTCACTTTTGAAACATTATTATTATTATTATTATTATTATTATTTTAAGTCAGAGCCTCACTCTGCTGCCCAGACTGGAGTGCAGTGGCACGCTCACAGTCACTGCAGCCTCAACCTACTGGGCTCAAGCGATCCTTCCGCCTCAGCCTTCCAAGTAGCTGAACTACAGGCGCGTGCTACCACATCCAGGTAATTTATATATATATAGTAGACGTGAGGTCCCACCAAGTTGCCCTGGCTGGTCTCGAACACAGGCAATCCTCTCGCCTCGGTCTCCCAAAGTACTGGGATTACAGACTCCAGCCACAGTGCCCGGCCAAAACATTATTTTTTAGCTTAAGCTCTCGTGCCTTCAGTGAAGCACTATCTGAAAATACTAAATAGTGGTGGACTCCTAAATGTTCAGAGGATTAATTCAAAAACACTGAAATATTAAAACACAGCTCCGAAGCCTGAAAAGTCTTTGGTTTTGGCAATTACAGTTAACAAATCATCTAATGACGAAATTTTCACCAAAAGCACTAGCCAACGGAAACCATATATGTTAAGCACAAACCAACTGCTGGACTTGACTTAAAGCCTGCAAATTATTGAAATTTTTCATTGATAAGCCACATACTTAAAAAGAAGAATGTAGCCGGGCTCGGTGGCTCAGCCTGCAATACCGCGCCTTTGGGAGGCTGAGGTGAGTGGATTGCCTGAGCCCGCGGGTTCGAGACCCGCCTGGGCAGCGAGACCTCATCTCTACAATAAATCAAAAAATTAGCTGGGCGTGATAGCGCACGCCTATAGTTCCAGCTACTTGGAAGGCTGAGGCGGAAGGATCGCCAGAGCCCAACAGGTCGAGGCTGCGGTGGCCGGGAGCGGCCACTGCACTCCAGTCTGGGCGACAGAGTGAGACTCCAACTCAAAAAAAAAAGAAGAATGTGCTTCAGCAGCTATAATAACCAATATTCTACATTTCAATGTGTATTTCATACCACATAATTCATATATTTTAATTTAAAATGTATTAGGGAGCTGATATTTAAAGAAAAATTCTATGTATGCTTTTTGTTTATGTATTTCTTTATACAAGTCATTTCCTTAGGTTAACTGGAAATGACTTCCTAAGTTGAAGAATAATAAGTAGAAGTTTAAGTTAAGAGAGAAAGAATAGACAGGTTATTGAGGATTTTAATTGTATACAGATGCATAAATTCTGCATATTCAATATATTGCTGGAAAAAACAATTCCCTTCCCCTGGCCATCCCTCCACAGAAAGATGGGTATAACGATCAGAAAGATAAAACTGTGAAAACCCAGGCTTTCAAAACCAAAGCTCCTTTCTTACTATTCAACAAAGAGTTGAAAACCCAGTACTAAGTGTTGTTGCATTTCAACGTTAAATGGATATTAAGCAAGTTTAGAGAAATCACAATAAACCTCTGTTTTCATAGAGAAAAAAATACTTATTTTTTATTTCTAGTATTTAATTATTTAAATGCTACATGATTTTTGGGAGGTACTGCAATGCCTTGTTCAAGTAATGAACTATGATTAATCAGTATTATTACATAATTATCTGTGTTCTTCTAAAATTACTTCAGTCACTGTTTGTGACTGCATGATGGTATATCAAATAAATTTACACCACCAATAGGAGCTTTAACAAAAAGTCAATTCCAATATGCAATCACCATAAGCTCACTTAGCACGCTTAAAGAAAGGTGAATGTTATTTTATGGATTTTTTTTTTTGCTTTGTTTTTGAGTCAGAGTCTCGATCTCACCCAGGCTGGAATGTAGCGGCACAACCATGGCTACCGCAGCCTCAACCTGCTGTGCTCAGGCGATCCTTCCCGCTTTAGCTTTCTCCAAGTAGTTGAAATTGGCCCAGCTGATTTTTTTATTTATTGTAGAGTCGAGATCCCACCAAGTTGCCCCGGCTGGTCTCAAATCCCTGGGCTCAGGCAATCCTCTCACCTCAGCCTCCCAAAGTGCTAGGATTAGAGGCATGAGCCACCAAATCCAACAAACATATTATGTATTTTTAAATAAAAGCCAATTTTAAATTAACCATATCAAAATATTTTACAACATGTAACAGAACCTTGAATTGTAGACTGAATCTTTCAAATGCTTAGCTAACAAAAGACAACAACAAATACAGCTGTGAAAATGTTTCAGTGCAACTACCAACTATGAATGATACCTGAAGATTTTACCTCTTTATCTTTTCTATCCAAGAGGTTATGTTGTACGGGAGGAATTAGATTTTCCACTGCTTTCCCCACATCACTGCGGAATGAATCACTAGCTGGAAGGCAACTGAAAATGGGAAAAACGCAACAGTCAATTAAAATGCATATATTAGATATTGGATCCTCGCATATGACAAGCGTTTTGTTTTTGTTTTTACAATGGACAAAGAAAAGTTTTTTTAATAATAGTTACTTTAATGTAAGCATTAAACTAAGCTAAACTAAACAATTAATGTTATAAAAAAAACTCCTTCAAATAAAATCCACCTAATTTGTGTACTCAGAAGTTAAATTGGAATTACAGATCTAATCTAAGATGTCCTAAAGTTCTCTACCTAAACTGGGCTCAGTGGCTCCGCCTATGATCCCGCGCTATGGGAGGCTGAGGTGAGTGGATTGCCTGAGCCCGCGGGTTCGAGACCCGCCTGGG